CATTTTATACTAGTAAATCAGGGCTGTTCTGTTTCCATAAACCTCACTTGGGAGTAAAGCTCCTTTGGAAGAAACGCTATCTGCTAAACTGAAAATTATGTTCCTGTTGTGGGAATCATTACTTTGCAAACTTGTGGATTGGACAGGACACAGCCATGCAGAACTGCGGTTGAGCATCATTGCTCTCAATTGTTTGTGGCATCTTTTACGATGTTCCATGTCATCATGTTCAACAAAAATCCAAAACCAATTCTCTGAATTTGCGGAAAGAAATGCAAATACCCCAGGAAAATGAGCAGCTCATTTTGCCTCTTAGTCTCCTCCTTTAAGAACAGCAGGAGGACTTTCTCTGGTGGACCAGATACTACTCTGGTGGCCAGGATAACACTCTTCTTTTGCTCAGGTCAGATGGTCCTGTCCTCTAATAGAGCACCTACAAAAACCACTAATGCACAAAATGTGGTAAGAGCTGAATGATGGTACTTTTCTGGTGTCAGTCATTTTCTGGCAATTATTCCTTCATCACTCAGAGGAATCACTTCTGTTGATTGCTATCTCCCAGCTATCAACCAGGGACCAAGAAGATCATTTTGAGTTTAGATTCAAGTAGATGCCTGATTCTGAGACCTTTTTGTCTGCCTTTCCCCCATGTCCTTCAGAGTCCTGGGGAGTTTCTAGCAAAGGAGCAATGCTGAAGGAGCCACATACCAGCCTTACAAAACTACGAAATACATTTATGAATTTGTCAGTAGTTGTCGGCACCTCTATAAAGTCCTGCTCCTTGTAGTCCAATCGACTCCCACAGACCACAGCAATGATAAGATTAGCAGAGCACTTAGCATGGCATCTCTTGGGTCAAAGGGCTCCCTGCAACACAACAGATGGGGGTCAGAAGTGCCAAGCAAAGTCCATTCGTCTGTCCCAAAATAACAAGCGTGAGGGTGTGTCTCCTTTGTTGCTCCCAATCTGTAGAAACACTCCCTTAGGGATTGTCATCAGCCCATTGGTGTTTTACCAAACACCTGAAACTTTCAACTGAACAATATCTTAGCAGGCTATAAAAGACACTGGCCTCTCCTTTTCACATTCACTCATTAGAATCACTTTTCACTTCAGCACCCATTTTCCCTAAGTCTACTAAGGGTCTCAAGATCCCTCTCTGAGTTTTCTTTTTAAATCATTTTATTGATACAATTGTTTTATTTCTTTTAGCATATTATTTT